GCCTTATTCCGGTGATGGATGCTAACGGGTTTGAAACTGATATTCGTATTGTTTGTGCAGGCCAAGCCATGTGTTCATTGGTATTTGACAAGTGGCAGATTGTTCCTGGCGACCCATTGGATAAGAACATCAAGGTCATTCCCTTGGAGGCTTCACGGCCTGATGCGCTTGCTCGTGATTTTGTGCTCAAGACTCGACGCCGGAAGGGATTAAGTGATGATCCCAGTATTGCAAAGTATTTAGACGAGTCGCTAATTGACTCACTACGGGAAGCTGGTTTATTGGATTAGAATAATTGAATATAGCCGTGTATTTTTATAGTAAATATATGTATTTATATATAAATTGTATTATACAGTCACAACTAGATGATGGATTCTACCTTACCAGCGTAGTTGAGGGTGTTGCTGATTACGCGTTCGGACGAAGCCAAGGAGGTAACGGCCGAGCTGGCCAATTCGTCGGCATCTACGCTAGGGAAGACTATATGTCCATTTGTAATAGACCATCCGGCCTGATCTTGAACAAAATCAATCACTTGCTGGTCGGATTGGTAAAAAAACAGTGACCGGGCGTTGGCGATGGGCAGCGAGCTGTAGGCCTTTTCAGCGCACAAGGCTATTTCCCCGCGCAGGGCGTAGGCCAGCGTATCGGCAAAGAGAGAAAACTCGGGAGCGGGGACCTGGGACTGCTGGCTGATGGCCTTGTATACCTTGTCGTAGGAGCCTTCCATGAGCCAGCGTTCCAGGCGCACGGGGTATGATAGATAGGCGTCGTTTTCCAGGGCGCCATCAACCTCGCCCAGGGTCTCTAGCTCGGTGTGAAAGGCGGCGATTTCGTTGCGCGATAGTAGCAGTAGCAGGTAGAGGGCCATCAGCTTGTTTTCATTGGCCGAGGGGTCTATGACGGTGGTGGCGTAAAAGGGTCTCAATTGCATGATGTAGCGCTCCAGTTGGTCTTCGTGGCCTAGGTGGACAGCGGCGAGGGCGCCCATTTCCAGGATATCGCGGGTGGCCACCAGATCGGCCACGGGCGCCTGGGCGAAATCGGGAGTCAGCAGCGAGGCCTTGGCCAGCTGGAGTTTGAGCGCGGGCAACGTTTGGGCGCAAGTGGCGTAGTCGCTGGCCTGGAAGGCCTGGGTCAAGTGTGTGGTCAAATCAGCGAGGGACATGGCGGTCGGCGTTCAGAATCGATTGGAATCAAGCGGGGGGGCAATGGATGGTTACAATTGATAATTTATGGAAACTGGGTTTTTCAATAAAGTGAGATAACGTTACTAATGTTGTGCCCCTGCTCTGGCAAGAAAACAAAAACCCCAATGAATGCGATGAGGCGGGTAGGGTAAGGGCAGTCTAAGGCCGATTTGGCGGTAGTATAGGCCTCAAGGCCGGGGGAGCTGGATCGCCGCCAAATTAGGGCCATGAAATGTAATTTAGGAGCGGTTTGACGGGCCCCATGGGCCATTAGACGCTCTCGGGGTCCTTACGAGCTCTGACGGCGTTAATTTGGGCGTCAAACGCGGGTCATAAAAGGTCTAGGGGGGCCGGCGTGGCCTTCTGGCGGTGTTGGTTTTTTTTTCCTCCCTCTGCTGGACCCTTTTCTGACGCTTCCCTTTTGGCGACCGTAATTCTCTGGGTTATTGAGCGATTTTGTTTTCGGTTGCCTCCTTCTCCCGACAATTCATCTAAAAAAGTCTACCGTGGTAAGCTGAACCCGTTCTCTAGTGTCTGAACAGTAACCCTATCATCTTTTTTTTGTTTGATCCCGCCGTGTGCCGCTGTTTGTCTAATGGCCGACTCTGAAAAGCGCAAATTACTGCCCAACCTCATCACGGACCTCAGTCTGAACGCGGGCGCCGTTTCTACGTAAGTTGGATTTAGCTAGCCCGTACCGTAGCGCAGTGTCTGGCACGCGCGCGCGCGCCTGGATTCCGTGCCGTATTATACTATATTCTACTATATTATGCTATGTTATTTCATGTAGGTGATAATATGTGAAGTGGCCTCATTCCTGCCGTTGTACTAACCACCACCGTCTTTTCTAGCCCCGATTCGGACGTCGTTCCCAATTTATTATCCGCTCACCAAGATTTTCCGGAAAGCCAGGGCCACCCCGATCACCAGCTCCAGCACCATTCACACCGCCACGATCTGCATTTGCATCCGTCTTCTAAACTCAATCACAGTGAGCATCCCCATAGTAATGATCCGGAGCCTGTCATGGCCCTTAATTCGCACCAATCCACCCCGCCGTGGTCCTCCGTGCCCCCGACGCACGCCTCATCCGCCTCTCAGCTGGCCCTGGACCCTCCCTCAGAAGGGCCCCCCGTATCGGCCAGCGTCGTCCCGCCTACAGGTCCTATCGCACCCCCGGCAGACCTGCTCGAATCAGAGCCGGAGTTCTCCGACACCGATACCGACACTAAAGAAGAAGAAAGTGAAGAGGACTACCGCAAGGGTGGCTACCACCCCGTCCGTATTGGCGAAACCTACAAAAATAATCGATACATCATTGTCCGCAAACTAGGCTGGGGCCATTTCTCGACCGTGTGGCTCGCCAAAGACAGCGCCAACAACGACAAACATGTGGCTCTCAAAGTAGTGCGCTCGGCGCCCCAGTACACCGAAACCGCTATTGACGAAATTCGTATGTTGCGCAAAATCGTCGAAGCCAACCCCAACCACCCCGGTAAGGCCCACGTAGTGGAACTGCTAGACTCCTTCAAGCACATTGGGCCCAACGGTACTCACGTCTGTATGGTCTTTGAAGTCCTTGGTGAAAACTTGCTAGGCCTGATCCAAAAGTACGACCACCGCGGTATTCCCATGGCTCTGGTTAAGCAAATCACCAAACAAGTCCTCCTAGGCTTGGACTACCTACATCGCGAATGCGGGGTTATTCATACCGATTTGAAACCCGAAAACGTTCTCATCGAAATCGGTGACGTCGAACGAGTCCTAAAGGTCCTTCAAGAACAAGAGGATCAGGCCAAGGCCAAGGCCCAGCGTCGCCTCGATGAAAATAATGGTTCCTCAGATGCTCACAAGGGTTCCAAAACACTCGCCTCTCGACATGCGCCCGGCCGCCGGTACCGCCGTCCTTCTGTCGTTACAGGCTCACAACCTCTGCCCAGCCCCTTACGTGCCAACAAAAGTGGCATTAATTTCTTTGCCGATTTCGCCATGACCCCCTCTGTTGAATCTACCAAGCCAGCCAGCACCCTAAGCACTGTCACCGGTGCCGAAAGTATTCAAAATAAAGCCGGTAATAATGAAGAAACTAACTCCATAGGCCCTGAAGCCATCATCGAGCCTATTGATGAACCATTGTCCAAATTTTATATTGGCTCTCGTAAAGGATCTGAAGATCAGGACGTTCTGGATACTGGGGTTGAATCTAGTGCAAACCCCGATTCACAAGCATCACCGCCCACTTCCGCGTCTTCGCCTGCGACAACCCCAGGCTCTGCTACTGCCACATTTGATCCATCAACAACGCCATTGACCCGTACCACCTCATCCACTGTTACGGCACTCTCTGATGGATTGATTTCCGTTAAGATTGCTGATTTAGGTAATGCCTGTTGGGTGAATCACCACTTCACCAATGACATTCAAACGCGACAATATCGTTCCCCCGAAGTCTTATTGGGTTCATACTGGGGTGCAAGTGCTGATGTTTGGAGCATGGCTTGTATGTCGTTTGAACTCCTTACTGGTGATTACTTATTCGAGCCCCGCTCTGGTAGTAAGTTTTCCAAGGATGATGACCATTTGGGTCAGGTTATTGAGTTACTTGGCAGACTGCCAAAGCAAGTCATGCTCACTGGTAAATGGACTAGCGGGTTCTTCAATCGCCGCGGTGAATTACGAAACATCCCTAAATTGAAACCTTGGGCTTTGCGAGAAGTCTTAAAGGAAAAATATAATTTTGACGAAGAAGAATCTACTATCTTGAATTCATTCTTTTTGCCTATGTTAGAGCTAAACCCCAAAAAGCGAGCCGAAGCTGGTGGGATGACTCTTCACCCGTGGCTCCGCGATACTATAGGAATGGAATGTATTCAATTAGAAGACAGGGAAGTAGGCCAACCCGGTGAAGAGCTTGTGGAAGGCTGGTCTTCAGAATGTAAAAAGAGAAGGTAGGCAAACGTTAACTGTTGGTTTGTAATACTTTTATTCATTACTATTGCATACTTTTTATAACATGTTTTTTTATTTTCTTATGCTTCGCTTCGTTTATTTTGTTTTTTTGCTTCTTTTGCTTTTTTGTTTGGTTTTCGTGTTTTGATTCAATTGTGTATATTGGCTTATGTATATATTTATAAAATCATATATACATATTTTTAAATGCTTTTTCTGTTTTCGTGTCCATCGTTCTGTTCAGCATGTGTGATATGTTTACTGAAATTTGTACATTAATTGTTTTATTTTATGATTGTTTAATTGTTCAGTTTTTTATAAAAATCGGCAACTTTGAGTTGCTTTGAGAGAATCTAAATTCGATAAAAATTTGGTTGAACAAATAAAAGATATAAAATCACATCAAGAAAACGATCTCTAGAATCTCATAACTGAAATACAACTCAATTTATCATAGTGTTTGCCATTTTTTATTTTAGATAGCTCACATATACTGGAAACTAAATTAGAAAACAAAGAACTCTTATAATATAGAGTAAAGAGTTAAAAAAAAAAACATAAAGGCACACTGTAAATTTATAAGATTTTTTGAACTGGTATGGTTCTATTCTAAACAAAAAAAATAACGATTTAACAAAACAGTGATTCTCTCTCCAAAAAAACAATTTAGCCCAACGGGGGGGTCGAACCCCCAACCTTGTGATGACTTTAATTCCTATTATTAGGATTTTAAGAGTCACACGCTCTACCGATTGAGCTAGCTAGGCCTAATATGATCTCTAGCGGAGTCGAACCGCTGATCCTTGCGTTATTAGCACAATGCCTTGACCAACTGGGCCAAGAGATCATAGAGAGAGTGGGCCCAACCGGGAATTGAACCCGGGACCTCTCGCATTCAGAATATATAAGAAACCCTAAGCGAGAATTATACCACTAAACCATCGGGCCAACTTGTTGTTCGACAAGAAAAAACGTAAATTTAGAATTCAGTGAAATCCGGGATGTCAATTAAAACTTATTTTTCTATGAAGGTTCCCTCTATTAGCAAATTAGGATTTGAAGAAAAGAAGAAAGAAATTTGGGTTGACTATCATAGTGTGGTTAAAATCCCACTGGTCCCTAGTACTAAGGGCTCATGAATATCCAATATACATATACCCTGATATCTAACTTTACTGGCATGAGCATTCAATGAGTATCTGTAGTAAACGGTAAGATTAATTACATTTTGTTATGTATATGTTCAAGCTAGCTATATTTTTATTTCAAACTCGCCATGTTATAAAATACCGATCTACCGACGTATAGATATATTTATTTGAGAAAGAGAGGAAGCCTATTTCATACATAAGAGGAAATTAGAATAAAACGAAATATAATAGCAATAAAACTATTCATAATTGCCTAGCATTTCGTTTGAACAATGCTGTTAAATAAGGATTTCTCGGTTTAGTATGGAAATTACATGGTGTGCCAGAATTCTCATATCACTCGATTCCTTCGTACATAATTCTAACCCTAACATTCCGTAAAATACAACAGGACTGAGAACTATTCTCGTTGCCACTATAAAACAGGCCCCCAACTCTGTTCTTAAAATAATTTTTTCCTTTTTCCTCATCATCAGTAGTGGTTATTCTATCTCTAATAAGATATTATAATTATTATATATAGGGCTCAGGTTATTCAGATTTGTCTGGCGCTTACCGTGTCTCGAATCAGAAAGCCGTCAGCTAAGGGTTATTCTTTTGTTTAGTTTTACTATTCCGTGGATCTCCCTCCGTTTCTAGTCCCTTAGAGGAACGCTCGTTTAGTATCCCTGCTAGTCCATGCTTTGTTTTAAGTTTGAAGTTAACTCAACTTCTTACAATGAAAAGTGTGCGGGGAAACTTATCGATACATACATATTCTTTTAGTTCATATAATACAAAAATATACAGAAAATTAACTTGACAGCCTTACAACCTTATAAATTGACTAAATTGTGATTCATAACTAGTAGCATATAAACTACCTCAATTAAGATTTTTTTGTGAAAATATTAATTATAGTATATATATATATATGTATATTAAGAGCAAGGAATACCATTGCTGTTTTATGTCATGCTAGGAAAACACTTCCTATTATTGAAGCCTCTTTCATGCCCGAAATTCCGCTAGTATGAGTATCTTTACATGATCATGACAAGATACATCATAGCATTTTAGTGACTGCGACGCTTTTTTCAATGTTATAGTGTTTTAGACCAAACAAATCAAAAATAGTTAATGTTATAATATACATTTGTTCTCTAAACAAATCTTTTTTTAATTCTGGAGAACGAGTTTCATTGTTGATCAAACAATAACTTATTGAAAACATTTTTCAACCGCTTAACAAATCTTTAGTTTAAACAGTTAGAATAGAGCTTAAACTGAAAATTTCAACGGATTTGATAAAAACTGGAATTAGATTCAAGTTACGCCCTTTTTAGATACACAGTGCCAAGAACTATAAATAAATTTACCTAATAAGTTAAATTAGATTCCACCGATTTTCGCTAATTTGAAAAACAACTAAGGAACTGGAAAAATTGTTTGACGAGAATATAGCCGAAAGCTCGTAGTAGTATATATAGTGTACAAGAAAAATAGCTTACCAAATAAAAGATAGGCTAACAGCCCGCATTTAGGGAAAGCCAGAAAAGAAGACGATTTCAATAGTAAAGAAAAGCTAGGCCATTATGAGAGCCTTAGAGAAGCTTGTGAATTCTAAAACCACTAGCCCATTACGTTCTTATAAGTAGCAACATAAAACAGTTTTTTGGCCAGAAGCAAAGAAAAACAATGAAATGGTTCATATTACCTAGTTGAAAAGCCAAAGAGCCACAGATATGAAGTAGCGGGGGGTATCCTCAAAAATCTTGGGTATTAATGGAATTGGTTAATGATCTCAAAATCCAGGTGGGGTTTTAACGTAAGTTCCATAGTTCTAAGAATTGAAGCAAACCAAAAATGGTATAATTTTATTAATTCTTTGATAGAATAATTCAGATAGTAGAATTGCCTAGCTTTTGTATGTCTCGGCTAATTTCCTTGAATTAAATGTATCGAATGCAAGTGTGTTACCGGGCAGATAGAACTATCAAGTCCGAAGTGTTTGGTAAAAAAAGAAAAAATTCATCATTTTAATATATTGCCATTATCATTAGAAGCAGAATCATGTTTATGATTAGGGTTTTTATCTTGAAAAGAAATATGACCGCCATCGTCTGCAAATCTAGTTTCACCATTTACACCATCAGCAATACCAACGACAAAGTTATCGGCATAGGCAAGATCATCCCCAATAATCAGATCATCTTCACTGACGCTTATCTCCCCAGTTATAAAGACATTACCGCGAAGAGAGTCGTCATCACCGACGGAATCACCACCAAGAGAATCTGTAACATCCAAGAATTCATGATTTTTTGAGGGCTTCTCATTATAAAATATATCATCAACAGTACCGTATTCAACCTTGGGTTTTCTAATATTGTCTTCGATGGCTACTAATCCTTCATCCTTAATCTCGAACTCTATACCAGCCTTTACCGAGCCTGCGTCGCCAGCATCACTATCTACTAAAGATAGAGACTGCCCACCCATATTGGAATCAGCACGGTCAGAAAATACCAATACTAACTTACGTGCTAACGAGGGCTGATATTTCAGGTTTTCCATATCCCTCGCCATGACTGAGAACCGCTTCAACACAATACGTTGATCGACCGCATTTCCCCATAGTAAGCCCAAAACTGGAATTTTTTTTGTGGAAGAATATATTTGAGACTGGTGTGAGGACACACTACAAACGTCACGAGGAGTACCACGGGAAAAAAGCGGGGGTATACCTTGTAATGCGGACGCGGATCGAGGCGGGACTTGTGAAGAGCTCACCTGAGATGCAAAAGGAAATGATGAGGAGTGTTCGGTAGAATTAACGGCATGATACTGTGATGCAGCACTTGGGTTATCATCCAAGTCCCCCTCAAAAGTATATTTAGATAGAGAAGACTGGTTCCATCCTGTGAACCAGCGAACTTGATGATCCATGAGCATGGGTGGTATACGATGATGTGAGCTTGGGAGACCCACACTACGATCGAAGCGATCGCTAGTTTGATTAGCCACCACAATAGCAACATTATGTTTACGAGCCAAAGCTTTAAGCTGTTTGGCTAACTGAAACACCAAAGCTGAAGTATTATAGCTCGAAGCCTGATCAGTACGTGAAAATGTGTAGTTAGTGCGAAACTGTGGAGCAATACTGTCAATGGCTACCAAGCCAATATCTTCACGTTCAAGGGCCCGAGGCAGCTGGTAGCTAACTACATGCGATAGTTCTTCAAGCTCGAAGCATTTCACGACATGAATGTTGTCTGGGGACAATTGGGCAGAAATATCAGATGGGTATTTATCATGGGATTGAATTGTATTTAGTGTTTCATATAGCCGTCGAGTCTCCAAACCAGACTCGGTAGATATGTAAATAGCTTTTTTAGACAGCCCTCCATAGAGTGGAGGTAACTGAACCATTAGCAATAACTGAATTAGAAAATTGGATTTACCACTGGCACTCTCACCAGCAACTTCAGTTAAATAAGAGGTCGGGATCCCGCCATTAAGATACTTGTCTAAACCAACAGATCCTGTGGTGATCAGTGATTCTGTAGAGACCGATGAAAGCTTGTCAGCCGTATAGGCTGTGCGATGTGAAAGCACCCGTACTAGATCGAGATAGAAATCATCCACAAGAAGACTTAATGCTGGTAGTGAGCTAGCATTGGATAGGTGTGAGGCAAGGACAGCGGGTGATGTGATCAAAATCTCAGCCGTAGTGATTCTATGCTGATTAAACAATGTGAATAGAGGCTCATACTTGGACATAAAGCATAAAAAAGACTCATCGCGGCCACAGGCATCATAAAGATCTGTCATTATCGATTAATTAATGTAGATGGGTGCCGTTATAGCTGATTTCTTTTCCTGATGGCTCATTTCTAATTATGCGGTGGCTACGCGTCTAGCGTGGATCGGGCGCGTTTGGGATGTTGCGTCACGTGCACTTAAATATGTGATAGGTTTATATACATATAATATACATGAGGGCGTGGACAGGAATATTGTGTCTAGTTGTGGCCTACCATGAGACTGAATAAGCTATACAAGGGCATGCACTGACCGACTAGCGGGTACCGTCCAGAGCCACTGCGAGGAATGACAAAAGGAGTCTGGCGCTTATTGAATCCTCAATACGAACAAACCAATGTTGATAACGGTTGGGCCCACAGTTCAGGCTGAGTGAGAGGTGAATGGTTGGTGGCTATAGCCAGCGGTCTATTATATTAGGGCAGATATTAGCGAGGCGTGGCTCTTGCCCTGGGAGCTTTTTGGCGGTTAGAGCTTGATTCCCCCCAGTACCAAACAAAATAAAATAATTATAATTTCCGTGTCTGCACTCATGGTTAATTGTGCCTTAGAGAGAAGTGCGCGCTTAAACAGGAACGGAATTCGCAAATCAGGGCCAACCATACTGCAGCCGCATACTGCTTGTTCAGCCCCACCTTGAGGAATGGAACGACCTTAAAAAATAGAAGTATAAATGCAAATCAGGGGCTCATGCGAGGGATGGGGTTAAGAGTTCTGCATGACCTGCAAGGATTCCGCATGGATGTCGACCCGCAACGCTTTTTGTCTCACACATGATAAATCCCAAATAAGCCGTCTCCCAATCTAGAAGAATGTAGGGGAAGGAAATAGTAGCCTTTGCTTCGGTGGGACATAGCCCGAGCATTTTCTTTACTTTTGACACCTTTGTCAGTTGTGTAATGCATCTGGCGGCCCATTGTTTCAGTTTTTGAATTTTCGTTTTTTCGTTTTTTCGTTTTTTTTCATTTTTTTCGTCATTTTTTTCGTTTTTTC